CCAACGTGTTTTCATTCTTTAAAAGTTAAACGAGTAGGTCTCATCTTTTTCTAGGCTGCTATTTCAACTGTCCTAACTAATGAGTAATCTGTAAAACAGACGGGAGAAACCTCGGTCTCCGACCGGGACAATGGGTCCATTCCCATTGTCTAAATCAGCTTCGAGGGGGTCTTGCACCTGCCAGCCCACTCGCAGGAGGGTTTCACCGGGACTGGCGGGACCCCTGATGTACCCACCATCAGGGGTACCCACCATCACCTCCCTCCATTAGCTCCTATTCTTTAAAAAAAAACGCATCACACTCCATCCAAAAGGAGTAATAGTATTTATGAGAAAGTATTTATGAGGTCAATCCTATGTTTCCTCATCCGGGGATGTAATGAGGGACTGAAATTACAAGAACTGCGTAGAACAATAAGGAGTTGACCTTCTACTGAAATGTACTACAATTAGTACGTTCAGGGGCAGTCAATCTCTGCACTCTTCTATGTCTCCTGCCTATGCACGGAAGCGACTTGTGTATGGGGAAGGGGTTATGCTGGTACAGGTTGTACTGGCACTGCATAGTGACCATAGTTGCCTCCACTGGAAAAAAAAATTAGGGAAAATAGTAACGGCAAGATTGACCCAATGTCTTCCCGTCTAGAAATTCAAACAACGGTCCAAGATGGGTGCCAATGCAGAGTCAAGATGTATACATCTTGGCGATATGCATATTGACCCAATATTGGGGTGCTACTGGGGGAGGGACCAACGTGGGGAACCAACGTTGGACCCACATCACAAATGTTGAATTCCAAGCCCAACGTTGGCCCTACGTAGGTGTGCTTCTGGGGAAAGAACTTTCATCTTTGAGCGTCTAGGAACCTATCCAATACAAAGTGCTATTGCATGTCATTCAAAGAAGGGATTCCAATTTAGATGCATCTACGAGCGAAAATGTAAACTTTCATATTGTTTTCTCATGCCGCTTCATTACATGATCTTCCCACTCACTTCCGCCTTCTACCCATCCGCACTGTTGCTGCTTATGGACCATCGCCTGAAGAACATGATCACGAATCGCAAATTTCGAGATCTCAGCTGCAGAACACTTGAAGCTCCAGGAGATCTTTTCTAACGAAAAACTAAATGCAATGGAGCTCCAGGGTCACCGTGAACGCAATCTGTGAGAAGGGAAATTTGCATGTAAGGGGATAGAAGATAGATACGAATCATTGACCATTGATCAAAGCACGACCAGGGCTGTGCATAATCACCTAGGAGAGCAAATAAACGGGTGGTCTACAAAGGAAAGATAAGACGAGTTTATCGAGCTCGCCATATATTGCCTTCCCTCTCCTATGGTGGCTCATACGCCAGTTCTGTTTGCATTCAGAATGTAAAAAGGGAGACTAACTAGGTTTAGTTCGTGAAGGGATGCCGGGTCTACCCCTGATCAATTATTTATGCCTGAAATAATTGGTCAGTTTCGTTAGTGCTGCTCGGCCTGCACACTTCGAATAACACTCCGTCTTGCGATTGCCCTCTCGATTGCTGGTATCTCACGCGAAGCAGCCTACGTACTGTATATGGTCATTTCTAATTCATCTCGTCGACCTACCGTGAAATCACGCAGAGAAGGCTTTATATCTTGGCGAGTCATCCTTCTCGAAGCGCAGTTGAACATGGCGCTCTTCACCTTTTCTACAGGAAAGATAAGACGAGTTTACCGAGCTCGCCACATATTACCTTCCCTCTCCTATCGTGGCTCAAATGCCAGTTCTGTTTTCCTCGCATTAGATATTCAGGTGCGGCTGCAACAACAATAGGTGCGGCTGCGACAAAAGCCGTGCCAATTGCCGTATCTATTGTCCCAAAACGCACCTCCGTTTTTCCAGAAAGTGAGCATTACATGAAGGTCGCGATATCTGGAGAGAATTGAGAATCTTTATATTTTAAAATAAAAAATGCCAAGTTATTATTATTAATCTCATCTTCATAATCTTTTAGCAGGGAAAAATACTCTCACGGTAAGGGAGTAGAGAGCATGCGACCCCGTTTGGGGTGATTGACCCCTGACCTATATTTACAGCCTCCGCCACTATGTGTCACTCGTGAGCCCCGGTGTTTCTTATTCGGGATATATAATGGATTAAATTATATGCACTGGTCCCGATGTAATAGTTACACAGAGTTATTTTTTGAGCTATATGCTAGGAAGTAGGGAAGCACTGCATGCCTTCCACCCATTTTGAGGAATCACCAGCGAGAACGAACGGCGGCATCACGGCTGTTCGCGAGCCAGTTCCGGCTTCCTGAAGGCCTCTTCCGACCTCCCTTTCACCTCGGGAATCGCTCCGTCGTTTCAGTCCGAGATACATTAGCCACCTGCGAAGACAACGTATCTAGAACGATTGGGCTTTCTGTCCAAAGTGGGTTGTCCTGCGGCCTACTGTCAGGCCCCTGCATCGAGTCAGGCTCGACCTAATCACTGAACGCTGCCAACCCCTATCGACCCGAATTGAAGCTTGACCTTAGCCCTACAGAGTACGCTCTGAATTTCCCGTGACCGCCCGGCTAGACCGTTTCCTGGGAAAGAACAGCAAGCAGAGGTCGATGCAAACAGGCATCCTACATGGGACGCAACAGCTCATCCCCCCTCTCTACCGCAGTTCGTGTGGAGCCCGTAGGAGCATCCACGACGGTCGAGTGGGACCCACCGAGGGAGAAACCCCGAGCGACGCAGGCCTCCGGACACCAGGAGTCCGCAGCGCCTTCGGATTCGGCGGAGGAATTGATTATCATAGTGGATGAATGAATAAACAACTGTTTTGCTGTTACCATATCCCCTTGTGATCTTATTTCCACCTTAACCCCACAACGGATTACGACACGAACTAGTCGTAGAGTAACAATACATTCAATAAGCAGAGTGGGGGTATTTTGCTCCACGAGCGATGAATTCANAAACAACTGTTTTGCTGTTACCATATCCCCTTGTGATCTTATTTCCACCTTAACCCCACAACGGATTACGACACGAACTAGTCGTAGAGTAACAATACATTCAATAAGCAGAGTGGGGGTATTTTGCTCCACGAGCGATGAATTCAGTGAAATTAAATTCACTGAATTTAATTTCACTGAATTTAATTTCACTGAATTTAATTTCAATGAGTGTAGGTGATACGGACCCATGATATAATATTCGGAGTATGCCTGTATAAATTAAGATTCCCTTTAAACTTCGCCTATTGTAACCTGAATGGCCCCTATAGGGGTGTCAATATACCAGGTAACTTATCGTTACCCTAATGAAAGAAAAAATTGCCAGAAAAAGTGAAAAGAGATGAAATCCTCCTCTCCTAATGCATGCAGGCAACCGTCAGTTCCAAGTATTATCGTCTTACTCAAGTCCATCCGGTAACGTCGAAGAAGGAAAATTGGCTATAAGAGGTGGAAACCAATGTGACTTTCACTCTCATGTTGCTTGGGCAACTCCCCTTTTCTCCCACTGTTTCCCCTTCCTTCACAGGCACGACAGACATTTCACGTTTGGGAGTTCTTGAAGCTTGATTGAGGAAACATTAAAATCCAGGCTTAAGCAACAATCGTTTCTTTCGAAGACGTTCGTTTCCTTGTGTCAATTATCGCATATACAGGTGAGGGATAATTAAAACTCTGAAATCGTCTGGAGGTTTGAGGCTGCAAACTTTACCGCTACATTTTTTTGTCATTGTTTCTCTCTATCCATTAAATGTTCATGAATATATTATTTTCTGGTTCTCTCCAGTCGTTCTACCTTCGTGCCAGCGATTAAGGAGAGTGTGAACTCCTCGGGATAATCGTAAGTTTTCTGCAAATATGATTCTGTCAAGAAATATGTTGAATATTCTGAATTTGCCCTCTCAGTACACCTTAAATAATATATTACTTGCTCGATTTTCTACGAAAATCACCAGACAACGTTCACAGAAGCCTTTCTTGAGACACTGCGCTATCTTTTTTGTTGTTATTTATTGCATACTACTGGTGATTATGGAGAATCATAGCCTAAAAGTACCGACTCAAGCTCGGGTGAACAGAACAAAAAGGGCGATAAGGAGGTATCGTTATGGAAGGGATACCAGACTGCATCTCATCAATTATCAATGCCAGAAATAATAGGTCAGCTCGTTAGTGCAGCTCGCCTGCACCCACTAATGAGGACTTGGTTTTGCGATTGCCATCTAGATTTCATTGCCTCACGTGAGGCAGCCACCGTATTTGGTCATTTTTCATTCATGCCTTCTACCTCTCCGAAAATCACCGCAGAAAGCGCATCATAGATTGCCGTGCGGTACGACAGATAATGAAAAAAAATTGTTTCGTCCTATGAAAATACCGCCCGGATCTTAGGAAGTTAATATCCGTCATTGAGGTTCTTGTGAAGGAGTGTGGAAAGCAGGAGTGGAAAGCACGATATTTCTCTGGCCAGGAGGGTGACTACTACGTGATGTGCCTTCCAAGCGAGAAATATCACTTGAAAGACTGATTGTCCGCATCAGAATCCTCAAAAGATGACTTCCTTCTTTCTCGAACAAAAAATTAAATGTAGAAGAGAAAACCATTTAAGGTAAGAGGTCCATGACTGGTCTATTCAGGCTCGGTTCCATGCTGAACTTCATTCTTCATACCTTCCCCTCATGGATTTCGCCAAGACATTTCTTGAATATGGACCATCGTTACCCTACTGGAACCAAAAATTATCCGAGAGAGCTAAAAGGCGATGATAGCCTCCTCTTATCCTCATCATGCATGCAGGCAACCGTCACATCGGACAAAAAAAAGAAATACAATTGGCCAAGAGAAATCCAATGTGATTTTCAGTCAACTGTTACCCGGGCATCTCCATATTTTCCTTCGGTTTCCCCCTCGTTTGTAGACATGACAGAATATTCAGACTCAGACGCATGGACCTCTCTGTTAAGTATCAGCTGCATCCAACTGTCCCTTGAAAGTTATAGCCAATCAAAATAGGGTGGTGACCTTTTAATAAACGTGTTGTCAGAAAGGAGTTGGACCAAATTTGGCTATTCAACCGATTTAAATAATGCGT